TTATATTTATTACTACTACTGTACTATAAGTACCAAACAACTTTACTACACTTAGTTTTTTATAGAATATTTTGGATATTCTTAGATTAATTGCCGATACAAATAATAAATGTATAAGACGATATCACTAAATATTGTAGTTACCAAGTCGTCTAATAGCATTTCTACCAGTAACCTGGCTATGGTCAGAAATAATTACAGATGAAATTAAATGAATAATATTGTCTACGTGCTTCGCTACGCAATGTTTGATAACAAAAATAAAAATATTTTAATACTACATAACTGAAATACAAACTAAATATATTATGAACCTTAAGAAGCTAACTGCTATGTCATAGTTTGGTTCCCGCGCAAGGTAGTCCCGTGGAACCTTTATTTATAATTATTCAGACACTTTTAAATTTTCTTTGTTTTGTTTCTTCTCTCATATATAGGTTTTTACTAATTTACTTTATGAATAGAATCAATGTATGAATTTTTTTCTCCCTATTTAAAATTTGTGCTCATGGGCAGATGTTTGCCAAACTTGCCGCACTTTGCGAGTGGGTTGGCGACCACAGTGTTTTATTGTACATTGTAAAAAAAACTTAGTCTCTAAGCCATTATGTTCTCTTCTTTTTTATCTTTCACGTTTTCTACAAAATAAAATATTATGAACAAGATAAATTATCTATGAATTAATTTGGGATGCGAACAAGAAACTTCGTTTAATTGAAATCTAGAATAGAGCAAGTTAAACTATAAAGGTGACTTTGAATTTATAATGTCAATGTTATCGGGAGCAGAATGAATGAAGTGCCAGATTTATTACAGTTATTAATTCATTGCAGCCTATTAAAGTTTACTGATGAGCGTAGGCCTCACCTCATAGGGAGGAAACTTCCCAAAGTTGCCACGCTTGCTAGGCGGGATGGCAAACACAATTTTTCTTTGTCTAGTTGTTATTAGGAAGTGTAGTGGTGGGGTAAGAATATCTACTACCTCATATCATCTCGTGGTTGACGTAAGAGGTGACAGGGGAAATTATTAAGCCTTCATTGATCCAAAACATCGGTTTCCGTTAGAAAAAAGTACATTTAGTATAAATATTATAAGCTAAATATGTCATGGCCCCTTTCGGGTATAGGCCTCCTCCAGTTGCCTCCATTTTTTCCTGTCGGTAGCTGTTTCCACCCAGTTTCTTCCTGCTACTTCTGGTATGTCGTCGACCCAGCGAGCTGTTGGTCTGCCCTTTTTCTTTTTTGCTCCAGGACCTCCAGGGCCCTTCCAAATGGTTGCTCGCTTGACCCATCTGTCTGCAGAGGAGCGGGCGATGTGTCCTGCCCATTTCCATTTTAAACGTAGTGCATGTTACAGTGCGTCTATCACTTGGGTCTTTTGTCTTATTTTTTCACTTTTTTCTTTATCTAAAATTTTTATACCGAGGATGCTCCTCTCCATAGCCCGTTGACAAGCGCGTATTTTTGACATATTTTTTTTGTTAAAAATCCAGATTTTTTCCACGTCATGTTAATGCGCCTTTCTATTTCGTCTAGGTGTCTTGTGTTTTGGAATGAAATTTGTTTTCCAAGGTATGTATAGTTCTCTACGTACTCCATTGTTGTTCGGTTTATTATTATGATATCTTTAGTGCCGTTGGTAGCTATCTTTGTCTTTGAGGTGTTAAGTTGTAGCCCAATATTTTCGCTAACAGCGCTTAGTTCTATCAGCATTTCCTGAAGTTGTTTTGATGACTTAGCAAAAAGTACTATATCGTCGGCGTATCTCAGGTTACTGAGGTTATTCCCATCTATATTTATTCCTTTTTGATCCCAATCTAGGTCTTTCATTATATTTTGTAAGACAGCAATGAAGATCTTTGGTGATAGCGGGTCTCCCTGTTTCACGCCTCTACGAATATTAAATTCTTGGCCTAGCCTGTCCAGTTTAACCCGACTTGTGCTTTTTCTATATATATCCTTGATAATATTGAGGAATGTAGAGTGAAGGTTCTGATGCTCCAATGCGTCCCAGATACTTTTATGCGAGATTGAGTCGAACGCTTTTGCGTAGTCAACATATGCTATATAGAGTTTTTCCTGGTATTCTACATATTTTTCAATTATTTGATCTAAGGTACGTACATGATCCATTGTTGAGTACCCTTGGCTAAAGCCAGCCTGTTCTACCGGTTGGTTTTTTTCTATAGTTGGCTCTATTCTTCTCCAGGCACATAGCAAACAACTTATAAATTGTAGGCAGTAGACTAACAGGTCGGTAGTTATTTATGTCCTCTGGATCTCCCTTTTTGTATATAAGAGTTATCCGTGACCTTGCCCAATTGATCGGTATTTCTTGTTTTTCAAGTATTTTATTAAAGAGAGTAGTGAGCGGACCTAACAATAGATGTCTTCCTAGTATCAAAGCTTCGTTTGGGATATTATCGGCCCCAGGACTTTTATCTTTTTTAAATTTTTCGATTCTCTTTATTATTTCGGCGCTGTGGAAAGGTTGAGTTGTTTGATTTCTATCTCCTGTTTTTGAAGACTTTTTGTAGCTTTTATTATCGGCAGATTTGTCATCGTACAGCTCTTCGTAAAAGTTTGAGGCAATTTTTACAAGGTCTTTCCTAGTTTGTTGTTCTTTTGGCTTATTTTTTGTCTTCAATGTTGGGATCCATTTTTCCCTGTATTTAATTGTTTATATGCTTTCTTTTGGCTTCCAGTGGAGCGTAAATGTTTTTCAATTATTTCTATCCTGTAATTATCGTATTCTTTTTAAGTAGTTTGTTTGTAATTTTGTATAGTTCTGAAAGTTCTTTTTTTTCTTCTTTTGATTTGGAGGATTTATATTGTAGATCGGTGCGTTTTTTAATTAGGTTTTTAGTTTCTTCTGATATTATTTCTTTCTTTGTTTTAATAGAAGAAGTATTCATTAAACTGTCTCGTATGGATGACTCTATCTTGAAATAATATGACTCTATGTCATCATTGTCTTCCCAGCTCAGTTGTTCAATTTTTGTTCTTAGGGCATGAAGGAATATTTCTTGTGATTTCTTGATAGATAAGTTAGTTACTGGGATTGAATAAAAGGTAGCTCGGCTTTTCTTTTGTGTATTTAGAGTTATTATTCCTCTCAAAAGTCTATGATCACTTGGGAAGGAGAGTTTGTTTAGGACTTCTATGTTGGTAAAGAGTTTTGAGTGATTACTCAAAATAAAGTCTATTTGGTTTTTGTTTTGTTTGTCTGGTGTAATCCATGTCCAAAGATTCTTGATTATTTTACTTAAATATTGTGTTTATTATGGTAGATTTATTTTTAAGAGCATACTGAACAAGTCTTTTGCCTCTATGATTTCTCTCACCGTAGCAGTATGGGCCTATTATTGTGTTTTCTTCGAGTTTTCTTTTACCTATCTTTTTATTCCAGTCACCCAATAATATTACTTTGCCGGTTGCAAGGCTTCGGGCATTTTCTATTCGGTCATAGAAGGCAGCAATCTCTTCCTCAGTTGCGTCTAAGGTGGGTGCGTAAACTTGTATAAGTGAAAGTTTCGTTGTTACAAAGTTCAAGTTCAGCAGACAAACTCTTTCGGATATGCCTATGTAATTTTCAATATTATTTTTGTATTTTTTCTTAATTAAGAATCCGACTCCATGGAGTCCTTTGGACTCCCCAGTGTGACAGAATATATGCTGATCGTCCTCAATGATATTATTTCCATTCCTTCTGACTTCTGCTAGTCCAATAATATCATATTTAATGTTCTCTAAAGAGTATGGTAGCAGTAGCATTCTTTGCGGTGATAATAGGGATTTTACATTGTATGTACAAATGTAAAGGTTTTGTTTGTAAAGATCTTGTTGTTGGCATGCTGGAGGGTTACAGTCTAGAGCTCCCGCGGTGACAAGCCGTGTTGGGAGTTCAAGAGGAGGTGGCGTTAGTTGCTATTTTGAATTTTGATTAGGGAGGCTTCTTTGTGAATTGTCTGGTAATGAGAGCGTAGGTTTTCTTATAATATAATTGCTTATGTTATTAGTCTTGTTTATCTTAGTAGGTTGTTTTTGGTTCTGTTTTTCTATGTTCATAAAGTTTGTTGTGTTTGTTGCCGTCTCTGGAGATTCTGATAGGTTCCTTTTTTTATTTTGATTTTTTTTGCCATTCTGGATATTTTTTTATTATTTTCAAGTAAAATGATTTTGTCGTATTTTATTATAGCTCTTTTCCCTTGTCCTTTCAGCATCTCTACTTCTCCTTGGAGTTCTTTTTGTTTTTTGAGCACCTCTAGTGGGAAGTCTTCTTTTATGTAGTAGGAAGTTGTTTCCAAATTCTTTTTTGTTTTTTATTATTTCTATTTTCATCCCCATCCATAGTAAGCGGAGTAGTTACAATAGGTCTGATTTTATCGCTTTTTTTTCCAAGACTTTCTTCTTACAGATTCTATGTAATGCTTTTCACATTTGATGTTCAAAATAAATACAAGGCTGGTAACAAAAGAGAGGGTGCTACTGTGCCGGCATAAACATCAGCTCCGTATATAATTTGTAATAAAAATCATAAAAGTAAAAAATATAGTGAAAAACCAGTGTAAAATTATAAGAGACTAGTAAAATTTGTGAAAGAAAGTTAAAATATAAACTATTCATTATTTTAAAACACGATAAAGTGATAAAAAGAGACAATAACAACAAAGTGATTTTTCATGGTGATAAAAAGAAGTTGTCTCAAGCTACTCATTCTGTGACTTATGTGACTGTCTACTGAGAAAAACCACGGCCGATCTAGTGAAAACTAAGTTCCGATAAAAAGTTAGAAATGTAATAACCTAAAAATCAAGGTATTGTCAAGCCACTCAACAGTACCACCGACTTTTTTTAATAAAAGCCCCATCTAACGGAATTTTTAGAAACCAGGCAATACGCTAATATCGTCAATATCGATAACTCATAGTAGCCGAGCAGAAATCCTACGAGCCTACTTAATACTGCCACACGTCAACAGAGGGCGCTAAACACAATATGGATGAAATTACAGATATGTTAAGAAAAATGCAAGATGAAATGAGCCAGCAAAAAGTAGACATGGTAGCCATGAAAGAAGACATTAAAAACACAATCAACAATAATATAAATGAGAAATTTAAGAGTTTGGAAAACAAAAACTTACAACTTGAGCAAAAATTGGAAACACAAAAATTGTCATTCGATAACTTGGATAGGTTCAATACAAGAAAAAACCTGCTGTTTTTTGGAGTTGAAGAGCGAGAAATTAGCTATCAAGATTTGGAGAAAAAAGTTTTAGATATCATAAACAACATTTTGAACATCAAATGTGAAAAGCATTATGTAGAATCTGTAAGAAGACTTGGAAAAAAAGCGATAAAATCAGACCTATTGTAACTACTCTGCTTACTATGGATGGGGATGAAAATAGAAATACTAAAAAACAAAAAGAATTTGGAAACAACTTCCTACTACATAAAAGAAGACTTCCCACTAGAGGTGCTCAAAAAACGAAAAGAACTCCAAGGAGAAGTAGAGATGCTGAAAGGACAAGGGAAAAGAGCTTTAATAAAATACGACAAAATCATTCTACTTGAAAATAATAAAAAAATATCCAGAATGGCAAAAAAAACTCTAAATAAAAAACGAACCTATCAGAATCTCCAGAGACGGCAACAAACACAACAAACTTTATGAACATAGAAAAACAGAACCAAAAACAACCTACTAAGATAAACAAGACTAATAACATAAGCCATTATATTATAAAAAAACCTACGCTCTCATTACCAGACAATTCACAAAGAAGCCTCCCTAATCAAAATTCAAAATAGCAACTAACGCCACCTCCTCTCGAACTCCCAACACGGCTTGTCACCGCGGGAGCTCTAGACTGTAACCCTCCAGCATGCCAACAACAAGATCTTTACAAACAAAACCTTTACATTTGTACATACAATGTAAAATCCCTATTATCACCGCAAAGAATGCTACTGCTACCATACTCTTTAGAGAACATTAAATATGATATTATTGGACTAGCAGAAGTCAGAAGGAATGTAAATAATATCATTGAGGACGATCAGCATATATTCTGTCACACTGGGGGAGTCCAAAGGACTCCATGGAGTCGGATTCTTAATTAAGAAAAAAATACAAAAATTATATTGAAAATTACATAGGCATTTCCGAAAGAGTTTGTCTGCTGAACTTGAACTTTGTAACAACGAAACTTTCACTTATACAAGTTTACGCACCCACCTTAGACGCAACTGAGGAAGAGATTGCTGCCTTCTATGACCGAATAGAAAATGCCCGAAGCCTTGCAACCGGCAAAGTAATATTATTGGGTGACTGGAGTAAAAAGATAGGTAAAAGAAAACTCGAAGAAAACACAATAATAGGCCCATACTGCTACGGTAAGAGAAATCATAGAGGCAAAAGACTTGTTCAGTATGCTCTTAAAAATAAATCTACCATAACAAACACAATATTTAAGTAAACAAATCAAGAATCTTTGGACATGGATTACACCAGACAAACAAAACAAAACCAAATAGATTTTATTTTGAGTAATCACTCAAAACTCTTTACCAACAGAGAAGTCCTAAACAAACTCTCCTTCCCAAGTGATCATAGACTTTTGAGAGGAACAATAACTCTAAATACACAAAAGAAAAGCCGAGCTACCTTTGATTCAATCCCAGTAACCAACTTATCTGACGAAAAATCACAAGAAATATTCCTTCATGCACTAAGAACAAAAATTGAACAACTGAGCTGGGAAGACAATGATGACATAGAGCCATATTATTTCAAGATAGAGTCATCCATACAAGAAAGTTTAAAGAATACTTCTTCTATTAAAACAAAGAAAGAAATCAGAAGAAACTAAAAAACCTAATTAAAAAACGCACTGATCTACAATATAAATCCTCCAAATCAAAAGAAGAAAAAAGAACTTTCAGAACTATACAAAATTACAAACAAACTACTTAAAAAAGAATACGATAATTACAGGATAGAAATAATTGAAAAACATTTACGCTCCACTGGAAGCCAAAAGAAAGCATATAAACAATTAAATACAGGGAAAAATGGATCCCAACATTGAAGACAAAAAATAAGCCAAAAGAACAACAAACTAGGAAAGACCTTGTAAAAATTGCCTCAAACTTCTACGAAGAGCTGTACGATGATAAATCTGCCGATAATAAAAGCTACGAAAAGTGTTCAAAAACAGGAGATAGAAATCAGACAACTCAACCTTTCCACAGCGCCGAAATAATAAAGAGAATCGAAAAATTTAAAAAAGATAAAAGTCCTGGGGCCGATAATATCCCAAACGAAGCTTTGATACTAGGAAGACATCTATTGTTAGGTCCGCTCACTACTCTCTTTAATAAAATACTTGAAAAACAAGAAATACCGATCAATTGGGCAAGGTCACGGATAACTCTTATATACAAAAAGGGAGATCCAGAGGACATAAATAACTACCGACCTGTTAGTCTACTGCCTACAATTTATAAGTTGTTTGCTATGTGCCTGGAGAAGAATAGAGCCAACTATAGAAAAAAACCAACCGGTAGAACAGGCTGGCTTTAGCCAAGGGTACTCAACAATGGATCATGTACATACCTTAGATCAAATAATTGAAAAATATGTAGAATACCAGGAAAAACTCTATATAGCATATGTTGACTACGCAAAAGCGTTCGACTCAATCTCGCATAAAAGTATCTGGGACGCATTGGAGCATCAGAACCTTCACTCTACATTCCTCAATATTATCAAGGATATATATAGAAAAAGCACAAGTCGGGTTAAACTGGACAGGCTAGGCCAAGAATTTAATATTCGTAGAGGCGTGAAACAGGGAGACCCGCTATCACCAAAGATCTTCATTGCTGTCTTACAAAATATAATGAAAGACCTAGATTGGGATCAAAAAGGAATAAATATAGATGGGAATAACCTCAGTAACCTGAGATACGCCGACGATATAGTACTTTTTGCTAAGTCATCAAAACAACTTCAGGAAATGCTGATAGAACTAAGCGCTGTTAGCGAAAATATTGGGCTACAACTTAACACCTCAAAGACAAAGATAGCTACCAACGGCACTAAAGATATCATAATAATAAACCGAACAACAATGGAGTACGTAGAGAACTATATATACCTTGGAAAACAAATTTCATTCCAAAACACAAGACACCTAGACGAAATAGAAAGGCGCATTAACATGACGTGGAAAAAATACTGGAGTAACAAGGAAATATTAAAATCAAAAATCCCAATAAGACTAAAGAAGAAAGTGATGGATTCGAGTCTCCTGCCCTGCTTAACATACGGTGCCCAAACCTGGATCTTTAACATAAAAAAATATGTCAAAAATACGCGCTTGTCAACGGGCTATGGAGAGGAGCATCCTCGGTATAAAAATTTTAGATAAAGAAAATAGTGAAAAAATAAGACAAAAGGCCCAAGTGATAGACGCACTGTAACATGCACTACGTTTAAAATGGAAATGGGCAGGACACATCGCCCGCTCCTCTGCAGACAGATGGGTCAAGCGAGCAACCATTTGGAAGGGCCCTGGAGGTCCTGGAGCAAAAAGAAAAAAGGGCAGACCAACAGCTCGCTGGGTCGACGACATACCAGAAGTAGCAGGAAGAAACTGGGTGGAAACAGCTACCGACAGGAAAAAATGGAGGCAACTGGAGGAGGCCTATACCCGAAAGGGGCCATGACATATTTAGCTTATAATCCATACTAATATTATAAATGCGAAAGTAACTCTGTCTGTCTGTCTGTCTGTCTGTCTGCTCCTCTTTCACGCCTAAACGGCTGAACGGATTTTGATGAAATTTGGTATGGTGATAGATGATAACCTAGAAATGGTCATAGGCTATAAATAATCACGCCATCGTTCTTAGGGGGTAGGCAGTAGGCAGATAACTAAATTGAGTTAGTGATTTTTAGTCGTTTTTGTTGGGACTTTTGCTCTTTCACGTATAAAAGGCTGAACAGATCTGTAAGGTAATAGATGGTTACCTAAAAACGGATATAAGATCAAAATGATCACGTCATAGTACTTAGGGGGTAGGAAGTAGGCAGAAAACTGAATTGAGTTAGTGATTTTTTTATGGTTTTTGGTGGGAATTTTGCTCTATCATGCCTAAACGGCTGAACGGATTTTGATGAAATTTAGTTAGGTGATAGATAGTAACCTAGAAAAGGATATGGGCTATTAATATTCATGCTATCGTACTTAAGGCGTAGGCAGTAGGCAGAAAACTAATTAAGTTAGTGATTTTTAATAGTTTGGTTTAAAAGTTTACCTCATTCACGCCTTAACGTCTGAACGGATTTTTATAAGACTTGGTTAATATAAAGATAGGATCCTAGACACGGACACAGGCTACTTCTTACGGCGGGAAAATACCTCATTCCCGCGGAAATCTAGCGTGATCGTGTCAAGAAGCGAATGACGCCATAGCTACTGAAATGATTTTGATGTTTTTTTTTAAATGAGTTTTACTAAGACTTAAAGTTAGTATTTGATCACTTTTCTAACTTAGAGGGTCGGTAGGCGCCATAATTTAGGGAATTTATTATAAAATTTTGATGCATCTGTCTTTATTTAACAGTTTTACTTGGATCGAAACTTAGCGACATACCATCACACTACTTAACTTATAGGGTAGGAAGGTACCAAAATTCAGACTACTTTTTACTTCGGGAAAATATCTCATTCCCACAGGAACCTATACACAGCTACCTATCTACAACATTAAAACTCTGTCTAGAATCACATTACGCCATAGCTATTGATCTGATTTGTATACGATTTTTTATTCAACTGACTGTTAAATTACATACAGATAAAATCTAATTACCTACACCACAGAATTAATATAGTACTACATAACTAGCTACGCTTTAAACTTGAGGAGGTAATTAGATAGACATTTATACGAACTTTATGCTCAGTAATCAATCATAGTGATAAGTTAATACTCATTTTAGACAAAGAAACGGATAGGTAATCAGTTCATCACCGAAATTATAACACCTACACTTAGTTTGTTTACTATTCAACGAGGGAAAATAATTCAATATAACGCAAACCTTCAAATCATACGTCGTCGTAGTGAATACAAGACGCTGCGCCGAGCGAAGAGGCGGTGCGGCGCGAGGGGAGGGCCGTGCCCAACTGTGCCTACCCAAGCGGGCAGACGCACGAGGGCAGACGTCGTCGTCGCACGTATGCGAATATTGAAATATTGCGTTACGAAACTCTATTCGTTGCGTATTTTTGGTTAGCTAAAAACGTTCTTTTTAAATTCAGAGTTGAAATAGGTACTACGGTCTACGCGTAGGGTCTGTAA